GAGGAATTCTGGGAGTTACCATCCAAAAGGGTAACTTTTGCATCTAAGTTTTGAACCTAGCCTGGTTACTTAAAGTGCCAGTTCAAAGTTCAAAATATTTTCTACAAGCATGTTGATGAATAACCCTATTCAAATCAGTGTGATTGATGCAGTTACTGATTTCAATCTGTATCTTACAGCCTGGTTGCTAGTTCTTGCCTTTTCAGCTCACAAAAGCCTGGGCCTTGCAAATCTGAAGAACAGCTTCACCACTATATTTTTCTTTTCCTCTTTGATCAATGGCAATGGTGGGCAACATTTGGAAAAAATATAATTGGCTCTGAAAGTCCTGTTGTGCCTCTATGAGGCATGGAAGCAATTTTACAAGGTTTTAAGGCCCCTGAGGACTTCTGGGGCCTTTAAAGGTAAAGGTAAAAGTTTCCCTTGACGGTTGTTGTTGGTTTCCCTTGACATTTAGTCCAGTTGTGTCCGACTCTAGGGGGCGGTGCTCATCCCTGTTTCCAAGCCATAGAGCCAGCGTTTGTCCATAGACGGTTTCCGTGGTCACGTGGCCAGCGCGAGTAGACACGGCACGCCGTTATCTTCCCACCATAACCCTATTTATCTACTTGCATTTTACATGCTTTCGAACTGCTAGGTTAGTGCTCCACTAAATATTTTAATTTCCCCACCCTCCAAAAAAAACTGTGACAGCTAGAGGATGCAAGGGAGCTTTGACAGTTGAAAAACCTGTGAAGCCAATTGGAAGGGGTGTGGTCACAACCTAAGGTGCGAGTGCAGCTTTCCAGGGTCTCTTTGTAGTAAAAATGAGATTGGTCAAGTCATGGAAAAGACCCTTTTCTGTGTCACCAGTTGGCACTTAATACTCTGAAAAACACATGAGGTTGGCATACTTGCTACAGGTGCTGCTATATAAAGATTGCCAACTTTGTTTTGACTAATGATTTTTCCCAGGGCAAAGAGTCGTATAATCAGAGAGTTGTGAGGTGCCTTGCAGGCTATCTAGATAAACACCCTATTCAGTGCAGGAAATCCAGAACTAGAGTATTTCCCAAAGGTGTCAGACCAGTCTTTGCCTCAAGACCTTCTAGTGAGGGGGAGCCCAGCCAGCTGCTAGATAATTGGTTATGTGTCCAAACAACTGTTGCTGTTTAGAGTTGTTTTCTAATACTCAGCTGAAATCCACCTACAGTGTCATTCTTCTTACAAAGGAGAAGTTGCTTGTTAAGGAATTCATGAGGATCAGTTTTGTAGCTTTTTCTACTCACAAGTGAACAGGGATTCTTTTGTTTGGTTGTTTTTGAATCTCTTGTGTTTGGGAGAAGACAATTATCATTTATTTTCACGTTATCCTTCTATGTGGGGTAGGCAATGTTTGTCTGGTGTCAATAAGTTTGGGGTTGCCATTTAGCTTAATAGGGATTCCTTCCGCAGTATTATCCCTTTTAGAGAATCAGGCACCCTATGTTCCCTTGCTCTTTAAACAGGGAGCTAACTCTTGCACTTTCCTTTTAAAAAGTATGAGAACACTTTTTGCTGGAATGCATACAACCAATGTTATTTTGGTGACACATCATTCACTGTGTGTTCCCTCTTCAGCCAGTAACATGTGTGACTGTTGTTTTCGTGAATAATAGTAACTGGTGATTGGAAACCAAAAGAAATGTATTTAAAACAGTATATTAGAAGAATAAAAGATTGAGAATTACAGTCAGCCAAGTGAAGTTCTTAACAAACTTGCTCTCATCTAACTAACCGCTCCTTACTGAGTTAATTGTCTCTCTCAAACACCCTTATTTCTAAAAGAGTATCTCCAGAGCCAGGCTGCAAACCAGCCAATCGGTACGCAGTTCCACCCCAACTGTTTTAACTGACTCTTCTGGCACTTGTCCAACTTGCCGCTGTCAATCAAACCCCAGTCACTCACAGCCCTTGTCAGTATTCTATAGAGTTTTATACAGATATGCATAAAATGCATATAAAATGCATATAAAGGAATTGCCACAGTGCAACTTTCTGGATGTTTTAGGGTTGCAACTTCTCTGAGCCATAATTAGTACAGATGCTAGTTAATGGGAGTTATTGTCCAGCAACAACTAGATGGCTACAAGACCATTTTATGACACGTTTAAAACTTTTTTCTACTGCTTATAATTCTATGACATTTTGGATATATTTTCATATTATTCACTTTCTGTGTCATTTTAAAGCAAAGACAACAACTACTACAAGACCATTTTATGACACGTTTAAAACTTTTTTCTACTGCTTATAATTCTGCTTATAACATTTTGGATATATTTTCTTATTATTCACTTTCTGTGTCATTTTAAAGCAAAGGTATAATACACTAACAGACACAGATGCACAGACTCCCAGGCATGTATGGCACCCCCCCCCCCTGTAAATATACATGTTTTTATAACTAATCCACATTCCATCAAGCACCATGTTTTTGTTACCAAATTACCTAACATTTATGGTCTTTATGTACTCCCAAAACCAATACCACAAAATATACTTTTCTTTCTTCCTTCTAATTCTGAGAGAGTGTGGCATTGAAGTCTCATTTATACTGCTGTGTTTGCTTTGGGATGCAGTCCTTTCCTCTTTCAAAGTGCTTCAGATTTCTGATCTCTCTGGGTGCCTAATTTTAATTCTTTAAAAATGTGTTGGATTTACACTAGCATACAAAGGGAACTAGTTATGTATTCCAGTTCCTTCACAGTCCCCCAGATTTAAATCTAACTAATATGGACTGTTTCTTAGAGGCAACTTTCTCTAACTTTTGAGTGGGCTGTTAATCAAGTAAAAGATTATAAATTAAGCAAGTCCTTCACAGAGTGTTTCAATTAGGATTGTTTTGTAGACTAGACTGGGGAGCCTCAGCCGCAAACTCTCCTTCTCAGTCACAAGTCACCTAGGGCACAGCGAAACAATAGAATTCATTTCTTCAAGGTGTAGTGATGGCTCTTACGTTGGGTGGCTTTGAAGGTAATTAGATGACCTTATCTGATGGAGTCTGTTTGGAAGAATGTACAGTAGTTTTCCAAGAAGTAGCCATGTTAATCTGTGCAAGCATGTGAGACAAAAGGCCAAAACCAAAAGTAATAAAAGCAAGAGACAAAAAAAAACATTGCGGCCCCTTAAAGACTAACTGTTATATTTCAGTATATATTTTAATACGTATTAAAATATATCATTAAAATATAGGTGTGAGCCAGCTGCAGCTGGCTGGCAGAGTGCTCAGCCTCCTCCGGCAGTAGAAATGCTCTCTTTCTTCCCAAACATCTGGGCCCAGGGAGTAGGGGGGCAGGTTTATTAACTACAGTTTCTTTAGCTTTAAAGAACATTTCTAAACTGGGTAAACCACCCCCTAAAGCTGGATGGCATGGATGCAAGTGTGAATAGGGAGAGAGCCATCAGATAGCATGTGCTGTCAACAGTTACCAGGAGAGATGCTGGGAGTGAGCCGGAGGTCCTTGCCAACCTGGATAAGGCTCATAACATGGCATCCAGACCCTGAGAGGACAAGCCAAGGGGCGGGGAAGGAGACACCGTGGCCTTAGCTCCCATCCTTCCCCAGTTGCTTCCTCAAGCTGACTCCCTGGCCTGGAGGAAAGCCAGGAGGGGCTCCTGCCCGCCCTAATTGAACCCTTTTCTCTATGTAGACCTTTCTGCTTATCTGACCAGGGAGTGAAATAACTCCTGGCTGGCTAGGGAGCTACTCCGTTGCCAGGACTAAAGGCAGAGGCTCGAGGGAGGAGCCCTGCCAGCACTGGAACTGAGAGTGGAAGGGAGCCTGAGCATGCAGAGACATTCATTTCTGTTTCTTCCCTCTGCAAACCAGAGGGGCAGACGGACTGGAGGTGCAGCTGACCTCCAGAAGGTGGCCCCAGATTAGATTCTGCTCTTGCCCAGAGCGGCTTGGTGCTGTAAGGAACTTTAGCACCCCCATACCTTGCAGGGGCCGACTCTGCAAGAACTTGTATTTATGCATCATCTTTCCACCTTTCTTCAATCCCAATAAAGTCCTAATTCTACCACAATTTACTGCCTTGTCATGGAGGGAGTGGTGGGGACCGCTCACAATAATCTTTAAGGTGACACAACACTCCAAACTACACTGTACGCGAAATCTTTCTCTCCCTCTCTGTATTATGTTCTGTCTAGTCATAACTGAGCTACAGAAGCCCTAACAGGGCTTTCAAGTTAAGTGAGCTACTTAAGGGGTAGTTTGACTAGTGCCATGACCACCTTGAGTTTCCATGGTCGAGTAGGGATTTGAACATAGGCGTCCTGAGTTCTAATTGTTAACTACACCGAACTGAGAATTAGGATGAGACTGAGCGCCTCTTGATTTCTCACAGTGCCACAAAATGAAGGCGTCAGGATGCTTTACAAAATTTAAAAAGTGACCTGATCTTGCTTCCAATGCTAAATTTTAAACAAAGCAGGGATAGAGAAGAATAGGTGTACTGAAATATTCCCAATGACTTTTTAGTTATTTTGTTGGCTATCATTGTATAATCTTTCTTTATTGAGGTACAGTTTTCACCAACTTATACTTCATTCATTCTACACAAAATGAAATGTTTAGCTATTTTATGAAGTTACCATATTGAGATGGTCCGTTTTATGCAATTTTATGATGTAGTATTAACCAATTAACAATTTAAAGACAGAATATTCATCAGTTGCTACTTAATTTAGTTGGTGTGTGTGTGTGTGTGTGTGTGTGTGTGAGAGAGAGAGAGAAAGAGAGAGAGAGAGAGAGAGAGAGTTCATTGTCTGCAACCATGTATGTTTGTTCTTTTAGTTGTCTGCCCCCCAAGGTACTGAGGATTAATAAAACATCCCCTGAAAATAAGCCCTAATCCATAAGGCCATGTCTTAATTTCAGGAAAACCTACTATATTAATCCATTAGTTCTGCTCCTGGGCATTTTTTATTCATTACAGCCAAATAATATGTGTTTTTTTTTTCAAATTTAAAATTAGATTTCGGAACAAGAGATGGATGAGGCCATAACACGAACCACTCAAAGAGAAAACAAGGATGCCTCTTCCTCTCACATCACAGGTAGTCATTTATTTGTTTCTAACATTGCATAATGTTCTATCTAATGTTTTGCTATGCAAAAAAATAGTTAAATTCCACCCCTTCAATGTATTAGATTTGGTATCATTCAGTGGTAGCTGAGCTTATCCTGGCAACTATTTCTTCCTAAGGAGAGAACATGGACTCTTATAGCATTTTAAAGACTAAATAGTTTATTTAGCATAAGTCTCCATGGACTTTGTGATCTGAAGCCCACCAAAAATGTACCAGTATGCCAAAATTTGTTAGTGAATGTGCCACCAGACTCCTTGTATTTTTCCCCTCACCAAAGAACCATAATACTTGCTTCTGTAAGTCTCATCTGTTCTACATAACTTAGTGGATGGTTAGGTATCCTCTTAGAGAGATGGGTGGCCGGCCATGATAATTTGCATCATTATACAGTTGTCAGTTTTGTCATTTCTTTTAGTTGCTAACTTATCTAATTCTTGCCACTTAATATGCATGTGGAAAGATACAATACTGAGCACAGTTATTAAGGGCTATAGAAAGCAAACTCAGCTCCATCTTCCTCCTGGAGATGATGCATTTCCTCTATACAAATGAAAAAATATGGGCATTGGGGAGAAGATCTGGGCCATGCCTCTGCATGTCAAGGAGAAGTTTCTACAGTTTATGCTGTGCATAGAGGAGGAGGATTCCTTCCTTGACTACCAGCATAGCTGTGGAACTTGCTGTCAAACTATAGATGGAAACTATAGGTCTTTCCGTAGGAAGGAGAAGCTCCCTCCTTGGTACTCAGTGGGGATGGATTGCTCAAGGAGTGACAAAGTATGCTAGTATGCTGTTCCTCTTTGATCACATCTGCCCTTTCCCCTGTTTATCAGGGGCGACTAGAAGGAGAAGAGCCCTCCTAGCTAATGAAGCAAATTGGGTCTTCTCAGGAGGACAACCAGATATTGAAACTTTTCACCCCTGAAGGTTTCAATGGAGTTGTTTATTTGGAAGATGGAGACAAACAGATACATATTTATAAATAAAATCTATGTAATTATGTATTTAGGTAGGTGAAAAATGTTAACTGTGCAAAACATCATTAAAAGAAACTGATAAGCCAGCCAATCTTCACTGTCTGATCAAATTATATTTAACAGGGAATCTGCCCAAAAGTCCATCCCCTTGTGTGAAATCTAAACAGACAGAAACCTCTTCATCCTTGAGCTGGACCATGAAGCGCTTCCTGGATTTGGCAAATCGGGTAAAGTACTTAAAATCCACCAACAATCTCATCTTGTTTCAAATGTGAAATGTAGCGGGCTGTTTTATTGCTTACAGAAGGCCTTGCACTGCTTCTTAAGCAGGAGAACTGGCTAAAAATAAAGAGCACTGAAACAGAATTATGAACTATCAGATTTATTTATTCAGGTACTACATTTGTATCCCACCTTTACTCTAATGAGCTCAAGATGTCGTAAATGACTTTCCTCCTTTCCACTTGGCCCTCACAACAATCCTCAGAGGAAGGCCAGATTCAGAGGGTGTATGATTGGCCCAGGGTCGGCCAATGAGCTTCAGGACCAACTGGGGATCCAGCCGTCAGTCTTCCAAGTCCTAGTTCAAACACCACTCAGAAACCACCAACATCACCGTATTCTGATAATCCTGGCTCCAGCCCCCAAATTCATCTACCCGTAAGTTACTTTGAAGCAGTCTCCAGATAGAGAGCCTCCAAGGAAATAAGGAAGGAGAAAAAAAGGAGATACTCTTCTTTCAGAGAGAAGACTGAGAACTTGTTTGCCGTCCCTCCTTCAATGCATCACACTGCATGTAAGCAAGCCAGAACACAGAGAACTGTAGCAGACATACTGTAGATCCCTCTAGGGCAGGGGTGTCCAACCTTTCATCTTCCCTGGGCTACATTAGAAGATGAAAGTTTGGTTTGGGCCGCACATACATTTGTTTTGGGCCGCATGGGGAGGCAGCCCTAGCTGTCCTCCGCAGCCCCGCTCCAAGCGCGCTTACCAACAGCTGTGATCTCAAGACAGCAGAGGCTGCCAGCTTCAATTCTGGCAGCTTTATGGGGCCGGGAGAGGGGCCACCTATTGACGGGGACGGCGCAATGCAGTCACACAGCCCCCCTGTCCCCTCCCCTCCCACTCCTTCCTTCCCTCTCCCCCCCTCCACCATTGTGACATGCCCCGGCCACATTCCGGCTGCAAGCGCCGGCAGTGTAACTTGAAACTTTTGAATTTCTTTAAAAAGAAAAAATTGCACTGGGCCGCATTATGAGCTGACCTGGGCCGCATGCGGCCCTTGGGCCGCGGGTTGGACAGGCCTGCTTTATACAAAGAAACAAGATGGAACCTCTCTGGCTCATTTCTTAATTACAAAACCCATATGCCTTTAAAAGATTTTAACTCAAAAACCCATCTCATCACAATAGTGACTGGCCTCCCACTAGCGTCTCAGCTGACCAATTTGCAGCCTTTTAAAAATCAAAAGTGGAGGCCATCCACCGGGATCTTAACCTCCATTTGAAAACAGTGGATTGAGCTCCATTTTGGCCAATGAGACTTAGCTACTTTCAGCCTGTGATGTCAGACATGGTGGACAGAGTGCTTGATCGCTGTTTTGCCACCATCTCCTCCCTTGACCCTTGCCCAGCCTGGCTAATCAAAGCAGCCAGGCCTATAACATCTTAATGGGCCATGGCAATAATTAATGGGTCTCTCCAAGGAGACACTCATTAGGCCCATTAGGAAGAAACCAAGCTTGCCAGTGGATGATATTGGCAATTATAGGCCCATCGCCAACGTTTCTTTCCTTCGCAAGGTAGTTGAGAGGCTGGTGGCGGAGCAGTTGCAGGCTCTTCTGGATGAAACCAATGCCCTGGATCCATTCCAGTTGGGCTTCAGGCTGTGCCATTGCATGGAAATGGCATTGGTTGCCCTGTTTGATTACCTATTGATGGGGCAAAATGTCTCTGCTGGTTCTTCTTGATATCTCAGCTGCCTTTGATACCGTGGGCCACAGTATCCTCCTGGGGAGGCTCTGAGTTGGAAATTGGTCGCCTGGCGTTTGCCTGGCTCCATTCCTTCTTGGAGGACTGCCCCCAGAGAGTGCAGATTGGAGAGAGTTTCTCGGCCCTGTGGAGCCTCAATTGTGGGGTTCTGCAGGGAACTTGTTTGCCGTCCCTCCTTCAATGCATCACACTGGATGTAAGCAAGCCAGAACACAGAGAACTGTAGCAGACATACTGTAGATCCCTCTAGGGCAGGGGTGTCCAACCTTTCACCTTCCCTGGGCTACATTAGAAGATGAAAATTTGGTTTGGGCCGCACATACATTTGTTTTGGGCCGCATGGGGGGCCAGCCCTAGCTGTAGCCCCGCTCCAAGCGCGCTTACCAACAGCTGTGATCTCAAGACAGCAGAGGCTGCCAGCTTCAATTCTGGCAGCTTTATGGGGCCGGGAGAGGGGCCACCTATTGACGGGGACGGCGCAATGCAGTCACGCAGCCCCCCTGTCCCCTCCCCTCCCACTCCTTCCTTCCCTCTCCCCCCCTCCACCATTGTGACATGCCCCGGCCACATTCCGGCTGCAAGCGCCGGCAGTGTAACTTGAAACTTTTGAATTTCTTTAAAAAGAAAAAATTGCACTGGGCCGCATTACGAGCTGACCTGGGCCGCATGCGGCCCTCGGGCCGCGGGTTGGACAGGCCTGCTCTAGGGGTTCCAGAATTCTGGGGTGAATGATTGGTCCAATGTAGCCATTAATCCAGCACAGAAAACTAAAATGATATTGATGGTGAAGGCATTTCTGCAAGCCCCATGCACATGTGCCAGTCAGACCCTCCCGATTTTGAGCTTGCCACCATGAACAACATGGCTTGACAGAAGCTTGCAGTCTTGTTCACTTGGCCCTTCGCTCACTCAAAGAATTCTACTCTTATTCGAGCAAATGTGAGGCACTCTATGGATCTTGTTGTCAATGCCATAAAGACTGGACAGGAAGAGTGACTGTGGACTTTGGTTTAGCCGCCCCTTTCCCCAATATCAGTATCTGTATTCTCACATATGAAGAGCAAACCGTGAGGACTTTTCAAAAAACAGTGTTTAGCTCAGCCCATGAGTATAGCCCCTTTTCAGTACTGGCCCAGCACATTTGCTTCCTGAGGAATAGCAGCAAACGGCATTCCTGCCCACTCAAATCAAAGTGCACAGCACCATCCCAGATAACCTGCCAGGTTATCTGGGCACATAAGACACAAAGTCCCACAAACAACCCTGCCCATCCTTGACACTAATAATATATAGAGAGAGAATAAGAACCAACAAAAGAACAATTTCCTGCCCTTTCCAGATACCCCAAGTCTGCGGCCTGAAGCAGCTTCCTCACTGTCTCTAATGGCAGGACCTATCAAGTTTGACACAGTAACAGGCAGCTGTTCTTTCATTTTCCACATTGCCTCCTTCCTTTTGATTTCTATTATCACATGATGAATTCATTGCTACAGTGGACCCTCGACCTACAGAATTAATCTGTATTGGAACGGTGTCCGTAGGTTGAAAAGTCCGTAGGTCGAAAATGCATTTCCCATAGGAATGCACTGAAAACCCTGTAATCCGTTACCCACCCAAGAAACCCTCCCCAAATTAAAATAATTTTTTAAAAAATTAAACCTTACCTTTCCGAACCCTTCAGGGGTCCCCCGCCGCTGCCAGAGGCCTCCAAGGGCTTCGGCGCTGCTGCTGGAGGCCTCTCGGAGGTCCCTCGCCACTGCCCGAGGCCTCCGAGGCTTTCCTGGGGAGTAGGCCGGGCCTACTGGGGGAAGCTGTCCCCTGGTAGGCCAGGTCTACCAGGCTTTCCCGAGCAGTAGACCAGGCCTATGGGGGGAAGCCCTCCCCTGGTAGGCCCAGTCCACCCTGGGA